CTGAGAAAACTGTCAATCTTTACTGTGTTATATCATCCTGAGAAAACTGTCAATCTTTACTGTGTTATATCATCCTGAGAAAACTGTCAATCTTTACTGTGTTATATCATCCTGAGAAAACTGTCAATCTTTACTGTGTTATATCATCCTGAGAAAACTGTCAATCTTTACCCTGTTATATCATCCTGAGAAAACTGTCAATCTTTACTGTGTTATATCATCCTGAGAAAACTGTCAATCTTTACTGTGTTATATCATCCTGAGAAAACTGTCAATCTTTACTGTGTTATATCATCCTGAGAAAACTGTCAATCTTTACTGTGTTATATCATCCTGAGAAAACTGTCTGTGTTATATCATCCTGAGAAAACTGTCAATCTTTACTGTGTTATATCATCCTGAGAAAACTGTCAATCTTTACCCTGTTATATCATCCTGAGAAAACTGTCAATCTTTACTGTGTTATATCATCCTGAGAAAACTGTCAATCTTTACTGTGTTATATCATCCTGAGAAAACTGTCAATCTTTACTGTGTTATATCATCCTGAGAAAACTGTCAATCTTTACTGTGTTATATCATCCTGAGAAAACTGTCAATCTTTACCCTGTTATATCATCCTGAGAAAACTGTCAATCTTTACTGTGTTATATCATCCTGAGAAAACTGTCAATCTTTACTGTGTTATATCACCCTGAGAAAACTGTCAATCTTTACTGTGTTATATCATCCTGAGAAAACTGTCAATCTTTACTGTGTTATATCATCCTGAGAAAACTGTCAATCTTTACTGTGTTATATCATCCTGAGAAAACTGTCAATCTTTACTGTGTTATATCATCCTGAGAAAACTGTCAATCTTTACTGTGTTATATCATCCTGAGAAAACTGTCAATCTTTACTGTGTTATATCATCCTGAGAAAACTGTCAATCTTTACTGTGTTATATCATCCTGAGAAAACTGTCAATCTTTACTGTGTTATATCATCCTGAGAAAACTGTCAATCTTTACTGTGTTATATCATCCTGAGAAAACTGTCAATCTTTACTGTGTTATATCATCCTGAGAAAACTGTCAATCTTTACTGTGTTATATCATCCTGAGAAAACTGTCAATCTTTACTGTGTTATATCATCCTGAGAAAACTGTCAATCTTTACTGTGTTATATCATCCTGAGAAAACTGTCAATCTTTACTGTGTTATATCATCCTGAGAAAACTGTCAATCTTTACTGTGTTATATCATCCTGAGAAAACTGTCAATCTTTACTGTGTTATATCATCCTGAGAAAACTGTCAATCTTTACTGTGTTTTATCATGCTGAGAATACTGTCAATCTTTACTGTGTTTTATCATCCTGAGAAAACTGTCAATCTTTACTGTGTTTTATCATCCTGAGAAAACTGTCAATCTTTACCCTGTTATATCATCCTGAGAAAACTGTCAATCTTTACTGTGTTGTATCATCCTGAGAAAACTGTCAATCTTTACTGTGTTATATCATCCTGAGAAAACTGTCAATCTTTACTGTGTTATATCATCCTGAGAAAACTGTCAATCTTTACTGTGTTATATCATCCTGAGAAAACTGTCAATCTTTACTGTGTTATATCATCCTGAGAAAACTGTCAATCTTTACTGTGTTATATCATCCTGAGAAAACTGTCAATCTTTACTGTGTTATATCATCCTGAGAAAACTGTCAATCTTTACCCTGTTATATCATCCTGAGAAAACTGTCAATCTTTACCCTGTTATATCATCCTGAGAAAACTGTCAATCTTTACTGTGTTATATCATCCTGAGAAAACTGTCAATCTTTACTGTGTTATATCATCCTGAGAAAACTGTCAATCTTTACTGTGTTATATCATCCTGAGAAAACTGTCAATCTTTACTGTGTTATATCATCCTGAGAAAACTGTCAATCTTTACTGTGTTATATCATCCTGAGAAAACTGTCAATCTTTACTGTGTTATATCATCCTGAGAAAACTGTCAATCTTTACTGTGTTATATCATCCTGAGAAAACTGTCAATCTTTACTGTGTTATATCATCCTGAGAAAACTGTCAATCTTTACTGTGTTATATCATCCTGAGAAAACTGTCAATCTTTACTGTGTTATATCATCCTGAGAAAACTGTCAATCTTTACTGTGTTATATCATCCTGAGAAAACTGTCAATCTTTACTGTGTTATATCATCTTTCCTGAGAAAACTGTCAATCTTTCTGTGTTATATCATCCTGAGAAAACTGTCAATCTTTACCCTGTTATATCATCCTGAGAAAACTGTCAATCTTTACTGTGTTATATCATCCTGAGAAAACTGTCAATCTTTACTGTGTTATATCATCCTGAGAAAACTGTCAATCTTTACTGTGTTATATCATCCTGAGAAAACTGTCAATCTTTACTGTGTTATATCATCCTGAGAAAACTGTCAATCTTTACTGTGTTATATCATCCTGAGAAAACTGTCAATCTTTACCCTGTTATATCATCCTGAGAAAACTGTCAATCTTTACTGTGTTATATCATCCTGAGAAAACTGTCAATCTTTACTGTGTTATATCATCCTGAGAAAACTGTCAATCTTTACTGTGTTATATCATCTTGAGAAAACTGTCAATCTTTACTGTATTATATCATCCTAAGAAAACTGTCAATCTTTACTGTGTTATATCATCCTGAGAAAACTGTCAATCTTTACTGTGTTATATCATCCTGAGAAAACTGTCAATCTTTACTGTGTTATATCATCCTGAGAAAACTGTCAATCTTTACTGTGTTATATCATCCTGAGAAAACTGTCAATCTTTACTGTGTTATATCATCCTGAGAAAACTGTCAATCTTTACTGTGTTATATCATCCTGAGAAAACTGTCAATCTTTACTGTGTTATATCATCCTGAGAAAACTGTCAATCTTTACCCTGTTATATCATCCTGAGAAAACTGTCAATCTTTACTGTGTTATATCATCCTGAGAAAACTGTCAATCTTTACTGTGTTATATCATCCTGAGAAAACTGTCAATCTTTACTGTGTTATATCATCCTGAGAAAACTGTCAATCTTTACTGTGTTATATCATCCTGAGAAAACTGTCAATCTTTACTGTGTTATATCATCCTGAGAAAACTGTCAATCTTTACTGTGTTATATCATCCTGAGAAAACTGTCAATCTTTACCCTGTTATATCATCCTGAGAAAACTGTCAATCTTTACTGTGTTATATCATCCTGAGAAAACTGTCAATCTTTACTGTGTTGTATCATCCTGAGAAAACTGTCAATCTTTACTGTGTTATATCATCCTGAGAAAACTGTCAATCTTTACCCTGTTATATCATCCTGAGAAAACTGTCAATCTTTACTGTGTTATATCATCCTGAGAAAACTGTCAATCTTTACTGTGTTATATCATCCTGAGAAAACTGTCAATCTTTACTGTGTTATATCATCCTGAGAAAACTGTCAATCTTTACCCTGTTATATCATCCTGAGAAAACTGTCAATCTTTACTGTGTTATATCATCCTGAGAAAACTGTCAATCTTTACTGTGTTATATCATCCTGAGAAAACTGTCAATCTTTACCCTGTGTTATATCATCCTGAGAAAACTGTCAATCTTTACTGTGTTATATCATCCTGAGAAAACTGTCAATCTTTACCCTGTTATATCATCCTGAGAAAACTGTCAATCTTTACTGTGTTATATCATCCTGAGAAAACTGTCAATCTTTACCCTGTTATATCATCCTGAAAAAACTGTCAATCTTTACTGTGTTTTATTATCCTGAGAAAACTGTCAATCCTTACCCAGGTATACATGCATCAGCCCCAGCAACCATCGTCAATTTTTACCCAGCTGGTATATCATCTTCAGCAAGCCGAGTCAGTCTTCATAGAATTCCTAGAAAAAGTGACTAACAATATTTTTTAATGTTTTTCCAAGCATTACTTTCTTTCATTACTCAAGAAACACTGTCAATTTCACTCAGGAACATCCATGATACTCCAGGGGTAATAATCACTTTGATGTATAAATTCGCTCTCTGCACCCTAGAACATGTCATTTACAAAAGTTAAAGTACAAGCGATGCTATTTGATTGGTTCCAGAAGAAAACAAATCTGACCAATCACTGGCTGATCCACTCCTTATGAAAATTACAAAGGAGCTACACCCAACTTCAAAGCCATTAGAATATATTGTTATGCAATCTTGGGATTTGTTTGATATTCATCAAAATAGTCTTCTTGTCTTGTCCACAAGGTGTCACACATAGAAACTGCAATTTTGACTTAACATGCTCCTGGTGTGCAGAGAGTGAAACTGATTGTATCCACTGGAGTATCAAGGATTGCCCAGGAAACACTTTCAGTCTAACTTCCAACCTAAAAAATGGAAACTCTGTCAATCTTATTTAGATAAACTTTGTGAACAAATTGTAAGCTCTGTACTCTTTCCACTGGTAAACTTTGTCAATTGTTCACTAGTAAAATCAGTCAATATTCCTCAGGTAAAATCTGCTAAACACTTCAGGTAAACTCTGTCAACATTCCTCAGGTAAACTCCATCAACATTCCTCAGGTAAACTCTGTCAACATTCCTCAGGTAAACTCTGTCAACATTCCTCAGGTAAACTCTGTCAACATTCCTCAGGTAAAATCTGCTCCACATTCCTCAGGTAAAATCTGTCAGCATTCCTCAGGTAAAATCTGACAGCATTCCTCAGGTAAACTCTGTCAACATTCCTCAGGTGAAATCTGTCCACATTCCTCTGGTAAAACCTGTCAACCTTCCTCAGGTAAATTCTATCAATGTTACTCAGGTAAACGCTGCTAAACCTGCTTTATTTAAGACTGTCCCCATTGACCTTCACCAGCTGAACTCTAGATCTATTTCCTTGAGGTAAATTCTACCAAATCCTATACTGATGCAAAGGTAGAAAATAAGTAATAATATTATTGTGGTTTTGATATTTCAGTATAACATTTTTCATGGCAACAGGACTGACTACGCTGGCTTTTGTAATGGAAAAGAAAGAGGGCCTTCTGGAAAGGAGTATGGTGTCAGGTACAATAGCATTACATACACACAGATTGTACATGCGGAGTTGATTTGGTGATCAACCCTTGCCTGCTAATAAGATCACACATTTACATTGTTGTATATTAGTGTTAACAACATGATCAAGTAATAAGCCCACCCCCTGAATACACTTACGGGGGAATGTTTTGGCAAGAGCAGTAAGGAGAATTAAGTATATTCGGGAAGAAAGATCTTTTATACTTTCACATGTCTTCTTTATAGAGCTTTATGTGTTTATAAATAGTATGTAGGATGGTAAGGAACTGATGGTTGAATTTGAATTCCGATTCTAATGGTGGTTTGACCAGAGTAATGATACTGTTTTACTAGATATGTGTGGGATAATATACAAACACTGCTAACCCTTTAAAAAAAATTAATTATGTATTGTTATAAATACATAGATTGTTATTTTATTTGTCATTTTCATAATGAGTTTATGAAGAGTTTTACCCCATTTTTGATTTCTTCTGTAAATTCATTTAAATTTTTATTACTAGTAAATATATCAACTATTTTTTGCTATTTTTCAAGGATGAAACAGAAACAAATTTTTGAAAAATTAAGAGAGAAAACCATAATAGTCTTTTGCAGGAATTCTGTGAAAATTATATGATTATTTTTGTTTGAAGATTTTGATAAAACCACACCAATAAAACCTAGGAAAAAATTAATTTTCTGTGTTTGAGCCATTTGCTTTAAGTTGTAGTAATAACAATATGGAGAACAATATAACAACTCTGTGTTAGGGAGTAGACATGAGTTATGTTATCTTTGACTACACTAATGTCAGCAGTACAACTTAGTATGTTTTTTTGTTGACAGGAATGATGTCAGCAGTACAACTTAGTATGTTTTTTTGTTGACAGGAATGATGTCAGCAGTACAACTTAGTATGTTTTTTTGTTGACAGGAATGATGTCAGCAGTACAACTTAGTATGTTTTTTTGTTGACAGGAATGATGTCAGCAGTACAACTTAGTATGTTTTTTTGTTGACAGGAATGATGTCAGCAGTACAACTTAGTATGTTTTTTTGTTGACAGGAATGATGTCAGCAGTACAACTTAGTATGTTTTTTTGTTGACAGGAATGATGTCAGCAGTACAACTTAGTATGTTTTTTTGTTGACAGGAATGATGTCAGCAGTACAACTTAGTATGTTTTTTTGTTGACAGGAATGATGTCAGCAGTACAACTTAGTATGTTTTTTTGTTGACAGGAATGATGTCAGCAGTACAACTTAGTATGTTTTTTTGTTGACAGGAATGATGTCAGCAGTACAACTTAGTATGTTTTTTGTTGACAGGAATGATGTTAGCTTACACTAATGTCAGCAGTACAACTTAGTATGTTTTTTTTGTTGACAAGAATGATGTCAGCAGTACAACTTAGTATGTTTTTGTTGACAGGAATGGTGTTAGCTTACACTAATGTCAGCAGTACAACTTAGTATGTTTTTGTGACAGGAATGATGTTAGCTTACACTAATGTCAGCAATACAACTTAGTATGTTTTTGTGACAGGAATGATGTTAGCTTACACTAATGTCAGCAGTACAACTTAGTATGTTTTTTTGTTGACAGGAATGATGTTAGCTTACACTAACGTCAGCAGTACAACTTAGTATGTTTTTGTTAACAGGAATGACTCCTTTTGAGATTATGCTAGCCCACGTGCTGACCCAATTGTTGGTGATGATGGTGCAGGTTGGCCTCTTGCTGGTGTTCGCTCTACTTGTCTTTCATGTATGTCTCAAATTAAGAAATGTAAACCCAAAAAGATTTAATTGTCAATTGATAATTCTTAATTTCCATGATTTGATTTATTTGATTACATATTTTTCGAAGGTTTCACTGCAGCACATAATATAACGATATATATGTAGACACAAGCTCACATTCATTCAAATAGAACTTTGTACTTATGGGAATAATATATTTATGCAAAGTTGCATTTGGTTCAGATCTACAGTTGTCATCTTCATGAACCGTCATCACACAATCAGCATCATTAATTGATGATTCTTTCAAAAGTATAGTTAGGTAAGCAAAAAGACAAAAGAAATATACACAGATTTTCGTTAAGAGTTTTTAATTACAAATTTTTAAAGTGATGATAGTATTTCATTTGGATTGATTTTCTAGGTGCCATATAAAGGGCCTCTGATCTGGGTGATCATACTTGTGTTGTTACAAGGTTTCTGTGTTATGACTCTAGGTATGTATATATTATGTCTTCATGGTGTCTTTGCTTTACATTTTACAGACAAAGACTGTACTTACAGATTTCTGAGTTAAGCAATAAATAGACAAAGACTGTACTTACGGATTTCTGAGTTAAGCATTAAATAGACAAAGACTGTACTTACGGATTTCTGAGTTAAGCATTAAATAGACAAAGACTGTACTATAGACAAAGACTGTACTTACGGATTTCTGAGTTAAGCATTAAATAGACAAAGACTGTACTTACGGATTTCTGAGTTAAGCATTAAATAGACAAAGACTGTACTTACAGATTTCTGAGTTAAGCATTAAATAGACAAAGACTGTACTTACAGATTTCTGAGTTAAGCATTAAATAGACAAAGACTGTACTTACAGATTTCTGAGTTAAGCATTAAATAGACAAAGACTGTACTTACGGATTTCTGAGTTAAGCATTAAATAGACAAAGACTGTTTGTTTAATATTTCTTTTCATTAAAGGTATCATCATTTCTGTGCTATGTGAGGAAGAAACTTCTGCCATACAGCTAGCATTAGGATCTGTTTATCCTATGTTATTACTGAGCGGTAAGTTGGAATGTGTTTACAAGTACTCGTTCTTTACTTACTGTAAAAATTGCTTATTTTTGTGGTGAATTTATTTCATGGATATTCTGAATCAAAAATTTAAATATCCAAAACATGATTAAAATTGACATTGGTTATGGTTTATATTGTGAATTAGATTAATCCACGGAAATGTATTTTTAGGGGGAAGTCACAAAAAGTGAGCCCAGTGAAAATACATGATTTTACATGTAATCGACTAAGGGGACTTTTTACTTATATATAAGTATAAACTTTAATTTACAACGATTGCCATACAAGTTATTTCAACTTAAATAAATCACTCTTGTTGGCCCGAATATAAGCGTGTGAGGGGTCTTATTGTGGGAGGAAACCAGCATACCCAGGGAAAACCCATGGGATCGGGCAGGTGACCCAATGCTTTTTCACGTTTGTTCCGGGAATTTAACCCTGGACAGCTAGGTGAAAGGTGAGTGTGTTACCACTACGCCACCCGATCCGACTTTTTACTTACTGTGTGGTTATTTTAAACTTTATCCTGAATCCATTTTAATCATTTTACATGCAAACATTTTCACGCCACAAATGTATTGTGAAGAAGTTTTGAAAATTAGTTAGAAGGACATGAATTTGTAAACGTAATCTTTATTATTAGATGGAAGTTTTATGTATTTACAGGTATCATCTGGCCGGTGGAAGCCATGCCCCATTGGTTACATTATATCAGTATTTGTTTACCTATGACATACGGGGCGGATGCCATGCGTGCTATCCTTAGTCGAGGTTCGTAGACAAAAATAAGCTATATACTGAATCATCAAGTAATGATTGACATGAGAAATATTATCTATATTTAATTGGCCTTATACCTTGCAATAAGCCCGTCCAGTTATATTGCTGTTCAACACACTTTTGGTAACACACGACACATCTAATACTCTGTCCACACATCTTGCATACATCATCACTATATTGATCACATACACAGTACGGTATCTAGTGCACAAGAAGATTCTGTGCAGACTTATGTGATATTCAGTCAATTAGTCAATTTTACTGGATAGAAAGTAGCAAAACTACAATTGGCACTACATTATATTCACATAGGAAGATTCTATGGAGACTTAATAGTTGATATCCAGTCCAACTTACTATAATATCAGTGGTAACAACATCAAATTTAATGGTATTATATCAGACAAAACCTGTGTTAAGCTGTTCCTTTTTAGTTCTCATTTTACTTAATTTTTTTATCTTTTTACCCTGTGTCTGGCTTGTCACAACTGTCATTACAAACCTGTTTATTTTTTAACTTTTAACAGGCTGGACCTTAACAGACCTGCCAGTTTGGCGGGGATACCTGGTAACACTTGGCTGGAGCTTTGGCTTGTTGGCCCTTGCTGGCTTTATACTTCGACTCAAACAATAGGATTTTGGATTCAAACAATAGGCTTTGTTTTTTGTGCTGTACACAAAATATAACAAGTTCAAGATTTTGTCTACTTTTGAGATTCTATATTTCATGTTTTAATACATACAACAATTTTGTTTTTATAATTGATGCAGATTATTTGTTTAAGTTCATATCATATATTTGACAAAACTAATATTTGAGTTTGACTGAACAGTAAATTTGCTGATTTGTGGAAGATAGAATAAATTATTATGAGTACAATACAATCTGCTTTATGAAGATGTATGATGATAATCATTTACATTAATGGTTACATTATTGATTTATATTTTAAAATAGTTACGATATAATCTACAATAAACACTTGAATATGGCAATCCAAGGTCACTACAAGTGACTTTCTTTTGAATGCAATCAACCTCCGCAAAATTTACAATTGAAACGAATTTGCAGAAATTGTTCACCATGAATTAAGATACAGATGATGCAAATGCATGATACTGTAAAGTGTAAGTGTTTTATAAAATTTGATTGTCGTTAATTTGCTATGGTGTGGAAATTGCTGAAAGAAAGTTAACACTATCATTCCTAGAGTGTCCTCTGCTGTGAAACATCATTTTCTAGATTTAAATAAATTTTGCTCAAAACAATACATTTAACATGTGTAGAACTACAAATTGAATAAGTGTTTGTTTTACTGATTGTGTGGTTTTTATCTGAGGTGTTAATTTTGTTTTATTAGTCCCTATTAACATTTGACATGGAACTGTTAGTGATATATGTGTTGTGATATGATTTTAGTGTTTTGTTTTATTTATGTTTTATATTGTAAAGCAATGCAAGTTTGGTATCCATTCCTTTGTTCATTCAAACATTTCTTACTGACAATATATTGAAAGTACTGAAAGGATCGGGCACAAATATCTACACCTTTTCAGAGCCTCTCCTTAGTTTGTCTGCTATGACATAAACGATATTAAATATCATATTTATTAACATGACCATATATGGAGTTGAATATGTAGATAATAGATGATTTTGACATACGTGTCTCTGAGATTATATATACGTTCATGATGTTATTGAATATAGATTTTTTTATAATGATCTTATTTGTATATAAATTATCTTTTAATTATTTGGGGTTTTGCTTGCAATTAAAAATTTAATTCGTACCTGTTAAGTTTGATAGCTGTCATACATGTATGTGTATCTACAAATTTTAAAATATGGTATATAATGCTTTTTGTTCAGTCTGCAAGTTTTACATTCAGTCCTCATTCTAGCTTTAACAGGGAAATAAAAACTTGAATAGTTTTCAACTCTTTCTAGTTTGAAATATAGGTTCTGTTCAGTATTCCATTAATTTTGATTGCACGACTGATAAGTTTGATAGTTTTCATAATATATAAAACATTTGTGTACCAAATACTCATAAATTTTACTGTAGCTTTAATCCCTACCGAGTTTGAAATCCATTTTGAGGTACCTCAAAGACTGTCTTTAGTTATAGCTGGCTGTCCATTGTCTCCCATCAGTAAACTTGTTATATTCAACTTCTTCTACATAAAAAACAAAACCGGACCAATTTTAGTGAAATCTTTCAGAAAACTTTCGTAGCCATTGTTAAACAAAAAATGTGATTACCATATTCAATCCAATAAGTGCCCGGGACACTTAAAAATTGCAGTTAAAGGAAATGCTTATTAGAGACCATCTTAGATGTAAAAGAAACACATTCAGTGCTAAAAAATGTACTGTACGGTTCATGTATTTATAAAATCACTCGGTTTTTTTTACATGCAATAAAACCATCTTAGACCATCTTAGATATAATTTTTTTTTACGTTTTTCAGGAGTACATCTTATAAACCGACTTAAAACAATTCTTAATCGTGACTTAAAGTTAAGTAAATCTAGACTTTTAGGTATCTGATGGGGGGAAGGGGCGCTTATAAGGATATGGGCGCTTATTGGGTCGAATACAGTAATATTGTTTCCTCTGAGCTTGAGAGACAGGACCTATAGGGATAAAAATGACTCACATTTCTTCTTTTCAGGACCCAGATATGGACAGAAGAGTTTTAAGGTACTTTACCAAATTTATGAATTATCCTGCAATTTTCCAAGTAAAATGTGCTTGGGTATATACTGATACATCTACAGGTTCCTTTATAATAAATTTGTAGTTTTGTAAGCAGGTTTTCTCATAACTGCTGGTGTGTGCTCATGACATGTACTTGTAATCTGGTGTTGTTGTATATTATTAATATGCAGTCACTTAATTGTACAGATAGATTTGTTAAAAAGTACTGACACGTTTTCCAGAGTCATAATATTTGTCATGCCAAGATAGAGGACAGGTTTTTTACTGGAAAAGTAGGCAATGAAAAGAACAAGAAGCAAGAAATATGGACAAGGTGTGTGTGAAACATGTGACATTTCCAGTCACCTGTTTGTAGTGGTTGAGGAAATGATGTTTGGTTTGTGAACACTCTGATATAATTTTATATATTATTGTATAAAATAGATACAAAAAATCTATAAAGGGGATATCATTGATAGTAGGAACTACAATATACACTATTTTTTTTAATAAAAGGTATGTTACAGGTGTGTTTGAAACCTGTTCAACTTAATTTTTTTTCCTGCTTCTTTTATAAATCCCTTTAAAGATATTTATATAAGGTACACCATTAGTTCCTTGTTATATTGAGACTTAAACATCATTCAGGTGATTGGTCTTTATTAATTCAATATTGCTTTATCACTATTCGAAGATTCTGTTTATCACAAAGAAACAATAACATGAGAAAATATATTCATCATGTTATAATTGTATTACTACATGTCTATGATCTTTCTAAAGTTTACTTTAAACACAACTGGCTGATCATGTGATAAATTATAAACACAACTGGCTGATCATGTGATAAATTATAAACACAACTGGCTGATCATGTGATAAATTATAAACACAACTGGTTGATCGTGTTATAAATTATAAACACAACTGGCCGATCATGTGATGAATTATAAACACAACTGGCTGATCATGTGATAAATTATAAACACAACTGGCTGATCATGTTATAAATTATAAACACAACTGGCTGATCATGTGATAAATTATAAACACAACTGGCTGATCATGTTATAAATTATAAACACAACTGGCTGATCATGTTATAAATTATAAACACAACTGGCTGATCATGTGATAAATTATAAACACAACTGGACGATCATGTGATGAATTATAAACACAACTGGCTGATCATTTGATAAATTATAAACACAACTGGCCGATCATGTGATAAATTATAAACACAACTGGCCGACCACGTGATAAATTATAAACAACTGGCTGATCATGTGATAAATTATCATGTTTCTCGATAAGCTATAATCGAATCCTGCTGGAATAGTGAATAACAAATCACTTATTAAATACATATCGTGATCAACTGCTGGTTTTCTTCACTAATTTGATAAGGTAATAGTGTTAAGTTTTATTATACATTATAATGACTGTGTATCACGGAAATCGGGTCAAAATGGCTGCTGTCAGATGTTTCATTGCTCTATTTTCCACAATTATTTAGGATTTTATCAAATCAGTGTTAAGTGGAATTCCTACTGTTGTTGATATACAGAAGGTAATCAGGTGACAGCCTTTTGTTTTTTCTGATTGGACAGTCGGTCTGGTGGCGGGTTGGTAACGCATTTGCCTTTCGTTAAGATGTCCGGGGTTTGTTTCTCGGAACTGACATGAAAACCATTAGGGTCACAGACCCAACCATATGGGTTTTCCCTGGTTACTAGTGTTTCTGTTCACAGGAAAACCCTTCCTGTGCTTCCATCCAGGCCAACAAGAGTTATTAAATAAATATAAGTATATATATTGTTCTGCATTTGTAATATAAATAAGTTTAGTTTGGATATCAATGCATCCCAAAGATGATGTGCACCAGTGACAACAACCAGTGGTCTGAACTAAGCAATGTTATCACTGTTTGGTTGTAGACAATTCCTGTTGTTCAGGGAATACGAAAAAGAACTGCTGTATTCCTTCATACGTTCTCTATAGTCAATGGAAATAACATTTCATCATTTCCTGTAAAATACATCCATTTTGCTTTAAACTTTTGATAAATACCTAACGTTTCAATAATGAATATATCAATTACTTCAAATAAACAAATTTATATAAATGTTATCTGTAAAGTTTATTTTCCGGTAATGACAATAAAATTTTCTGTTATTGTAATTATATATAACTAATGATTTCATTGTTGTCAACCGTATTCTGACTTTGTTTGCAAATTTATTGTTAAATATGATTTTAATATGCTTTGTGATAAAATAAAAAATCGAAATTTATTTTTTCCGTTTGTTTTTATTAAAAATGTTATGCAATTGTCAAGATTTGTGGGTTTAGGCTCAGTCCAATAAGTAGCAAACAGGTAAAACAACGGCATGAAATGAGTTCAACAAATATATTCACTTAGAATATATATACAAAATCATAAGAACATAGACATATATACAACTCACTAACGCACATCCACTCACACATTCATTAATTACGTGTATATTTGATTAACTGCACAGAAGTCATTATAGAGTTCACTGTTTCCCAAAGTTCCCGTCTCTACAGGTGTCAACACACAAATGCTCCACCAGTGTGACGAATGAATTCTCTTTTCATCACCGACCGAATATAACTGGCCTCCACAACACCCTAGTTGACTTGGTGTCCTGGGACCGTCGCTCCCACTATGGGTCTAGCGAATAGCATTCTTTTATAGGCCTCCCTGCACGGTTCTGAGGTATATGCCTCCCCAAGGTCACTGTTGGCGTCTCTGCATTCTACTTCCGAACACACAGCTCACTGTCCTGTTTCTCCCAGGACTCCCACATAGGTGGGCACAGCATACAGCTTCTCCCAAGTAATTTTCATGAACCCAAACCAGCACACAGCTTTCATATGGTTACTCCAACTATCTCTACACTTGGACTTACTTAACACCAGTATTTCTTTTATTCCTAAACATCGCATTTCAGAATAGCCTGAAAAATGTCTGACGCTCGGAACTTGTCTGCTAAAAG